CCACCACCATGACGGCCAACTATCACGCGTCACAACCAACCAACCGTGTCACCATCGCAATCATTCTTTCTTCCTAATCAAATAGGTATATAAGATCATTGATTGACAACTTAAATACAATATTCACAATTTAATAAAAACTAATTAATTCACTTATTTAGAGTTTAATGCAAAATGATTATAAAAACCAATACATTTTTACATATTTATGCAATAAAAAAATATTCACAAGAAATTAATACAAATATTCAGACATAAATCATTCATTATTTAACACGAAATTAATTAAAAATTCACAATCAATTCACAATTTAAATAAAAAATTCACAGCTTAATGCAGTCAATTCACAATTCACAACACAAAAATCACAGTTTCATATACAAAATTTACAACTTAATAAAGTTTTTCACGGATTAAACAGAAAATTCACAGCTTAATGCAATCAATTCATAGTTTAAAGCCAAAAAATCATAGCCTAATACACAAAATTCCCAAGTTAATACAATAAATTCATAGTTTAATACACAAAAATTATGCAATCACAACCATATTATCAACTTAAAACTCTTAATACAGTCAATTCACAGTTTAATATACGAAAATCAAAATTTAGTACATAAAATTCACAGCTTAATACAATAAATTCACAATCTAATATACAAAAATTATGCATTCGACAATCATATTTTCAACTTAAAACTTATATTTTAAGACTTTCATTCACAATTTAGTAAAACAATTCATGACTATCATTTATATAATTCACAATACCAATTCGAGACTATCATTCACAGTTTAATACAACTTAACTACTAATAAAAATCATTGAGACAATTAATCAAAGATTACGTGTCAAATTTTAAGACTAGATAGTATTTAATTTTTAAATTCTACGTAACTAATCTTATATTAAAAATTCATTTATCATATATTTATATATTTATGAACTTATCGCTAGATTAAAATTGCATATTTCCTAACTAGATACGTCTACTTAAAAAAAAGAACGTAAACAATAGAAAAGTGATATGCCTAAGTAAATAAATTTAAACAATGGAAAAGAGAATACCTGCTTGTGACATCCCCTAATTTCTCGGCCAGAAAAGATCGATTTAATTTATGCTTTTTAAAATAAAGTCAGAGAAATCCTTTTAAAAGATGTTGCGAAATTGGTCCCCAAAACAAAACATGATAAAAGTTTTATCAAAACCTTCTTTAAGAAATATATATTTTCCTTTTATATCAAAACATCGGGATGTCATGTTCCGATACAGATCAAAAGCATAAACAAGACATTATAAGCCTTACAACAGTTATTTACAACTACTGGCCTATAATCCAAAAATCTCTCAACATCATCCGACTATGCTCGGGGTCCACTACCTGTAATATAAAAAGCTGAGTGGGTCAGGCTTGGGAGCCTGGTGAGCATATAGGGTTTTCAAAACCCACAATAATAATAAACTTATTAAGTTCATCAATCAACAATAACCCTGATTACCCATTCCCGTTATCCTCACTTTACGTCCCTAAACACCTATCACAAGGGACCTAGCCTAAGGAATATCATCGGGATGGACACTACTGCTAAGGGGACTCCTCAGCTATACATGTCCTAAAGGCAACCATGAGGGGGATGGAGTACGCCAATGAACATATAGTTCACCAACACCTACAAGTTGCGAACCTGCTAGTGTTCCACTGGACTGTCTAGAAAGGTCTGTGGTCGTCATCTATACTCCGCTAGACGACTACAACAACAACAACATCGAGGTCTCTCACCATTTTAACACACATCGACTATTTCATCTACCCATGTTTTACCCAACATATTTGTAGATAAAATACATATACAGTTTAAAACTTGTATAAAACATCTATTTAACAGTCACCTCAAATAAACAATTAATATAATTACACATAGCACGTATTTTAAGGAAAATACTTCATATCTAGGTGTAAGATGAAAGTGACTACACACTCACTTGATTTAATGATAATCGGGCAACACTTCATTTCCTAAAACGATCGTTTCTAATAAAACCGGGAGTTTTTTTGAGAAACCGGGCTCTGCGAGGGTTGGGCTTTAAAACCGAAAATATAAATTTCTCGGGCTTCTCGGGCACTTCGGGGGTGTTCGGGTGTTTGGTATATACGGGGCTTTGGGGGATGTTGGAATGAAAGAAATATGGGTTTAGGGGTGTAAAATGACAAATTTCCAAATTACCACCGGCGGGTCTCGCACCCTTCTATTTATAGGGGCGAGGCTTCTGATCCGAGGGCTGAGAAGCGAACAGGTGTCAGCAGATGCAAGGGTCAGGCACGTGCGAGGGTCCAGCTGGCTGCTTCTGATTGGACCGAGGTCTAGGGTCCGAGGGGTGGGACGTGGTGCACCTGCGAAGCTCGGACACGTCAAGAAGGGCACGCGTCGGACCGCGGTTGTACCAGCGCTTCGGATGCGAGGGTTGCGACACGCCTCGGATGAATCATCAATTTCGGACACGTGGCGCGCATGGAGCGAAGGTGACGTGGCCGAAGCATGACTATGCGAATTTTCTCGGATTTAGCATTTTTTTCTCGATTTTTTGTGCAAAAACTTCTAAAATCCATAACTTTCGCATACAGGCTCCGTTTTTGACGTTCTTTATATGCACGCGTAGGTAAAATTACGCTCTACCACGTTCGTTTAGACTTCGTCGGCTAATTTTTATTTTAATTTTTATATTATTATTTTTAACAGACCGGGACAGGAAATTCGTTAAAAATTCATAACTCTTCCATCCGACGTCCGTTTTCGTCTGTCTTTTACCGTTGTACTACTATGACGAGACCTTCGATTCTCGTTTAGTTCGTGTCGGCTAAAAATCACTCAATCTAAAATTCGAGTTTTTAGCTGTCTACTGCCTAGCTGAAACTTAGAAAAAATCATAACTTCCTCATACGAAGTCAGATTTGGGCGTTCTTTTTATACATACTCTCGTGTTTAACGAACACTAAGACTTTCGTTTAGATCACTAAGGCTAAAAAGTAGTTATCAAAAAACTCACTTTTTACGTCATTCGACACCGTGTCGGTTTTGTCCGCGAAACTTCGACAGGTCATAACTTCTTCGTTATAACTCGGATTTCAGTATTCTTTATATATCTGTAATCCTTGTCACTACCACTACAACTCTCTTAATAGATATCGGCTTTATCTAATATTTATTTTCGACGCTTATTTTTATTCTTAATTGATTAAATCCTAGTAATTAAGCATAAAACACATATTTCACATAATATTCACATAATTCCTTTTCATTTCTTCAAAATGAGTTACAAAGGTTAACCTAGAATATCACGTCAATATTAATGCCTAGCCTAGAAACACGGTCGTTACACTGCTTGCTTACTGTGCTTGTCAGAGGCTCCATTGCAGCAAAAAGTAATATAGAAAATTAGAAGACTTTTATACCCTCGGTCCAATCACCGTTGCACAAGTACAACACATACATACGCCTTCAACAGTTAGAGCATCTCTCACATTTTATTTTTAGCAATAATATTTGAAAACCAGATCTCCGTCGAAACTCATGACCACTCACCAGGAAGCTAAACGGTCGCCATAACACCTCATCGAAGACGTCAACGGAAAAGTATTGCCTACTCATATCTAATTTGCATTACGTTGTGACTGTAGATAGATTAAATGAAAACATTACCAAAAAACTCTTAGGGATCTCGATCTCTGATATCTGACGAAGGAGACGACGGAAGAAGTCGCCAGAGGAGAATAAGGGGAAGAGATATGGCGAATATCGTAGATCTCGCCGCTTGTTGTAGGTTTTGGATCTGGTCTCGTCGATGAGAAGCGGATGAGGTAGTGGAGCGAATTTGATGTGGTGGTGAAACCACCGTTGACCACCGTAAAGTGAACCACACACTTAAGATCTAGATCCGAAATGAATCAAACAGTTCTGATGCAGATCTGGTAGTGTTTCAGGAAAAAACGAAGGGAAATAGATAGTGATAGCGTACGACGGTGAAGACGGTCAGAAACGACGGCGGTCTACGGCGGCAACGAAGGGATCCGACGATGGGTGACGACAATGGTGGTAGTTGGTGATGATAGTGGGAGAATTTGTGTTTGAGTTTGTGAGAATGTTTTAATGCAATAAAATTATCAGATCTTATTTTGTACTCTCAAGTTATGATTTTGATGTTAAAAATTAAAAATGTCTATCATGCCTTTATTATTTTTGGTTATTTATGAAAATATAAAATAATCAAAAACTTTGAATCAACAAATATACCATTAATTATAAAGTAAAATTAGAGGTTCTTATGGTTCTTAATCTTTTTTGGTTCTCATTTGATCTTTTACCTCTATATATATATATATATATAGTATATATATATATTATATAGATATATATATATATATATATATATAATTAATATATATACCATCATTTAAGGTAATAAACCATTTTTTAGTTATATTTTATGTTATATAATTATAGTCTTTAAATTTTATTTGAAAGCTTTTGTGTTTTATTATTACATTGAAAAAAACCAGATTGATTATAGTAAATCATCTTATCAAATCAAAACAAAAGGGATTCTAACCAACTCTATCAGGATAGGTGGAATTAGGTGTTTGTTTAGGAGATATATTTACATTTGTCGGTTTAAATTTTTTTTTATCAAATCAAAAACGTTAAATTTTAAATTATTATTTTTAACTAAATATATTTTGACATTTTCGTAATTATCATTTTCAGTTTTTTAAGAAAAAATGTTTTAGCCTTAGTGATCTAAACGTTTTAAACTCAATTATTGATAGTAGTTTGATAAAATTATAATTACTGGACAACCAAATACAACCAATTAGATGTTCTTTGGTTATCATCTATCGATATATATATATATTATATATATATATATATATATATATATATATATATCTATATATAATATATATATATATATCCCATGTGTTGAACGGTATCACATTAAAAATTATATTCCATATATGAAATTCGTCAACTTTCCAAAATTTACCTACACCATCTCCCTCTCAAAATTTTATATATCCATCCATACATATTAAGTATACATTGTGTCAGAAGAGTTTGAATCTGCGAGACTAGAAGATAATCTCCCATTTTCATCGTTCCGGAGAAAATTCAATGGAATCTAAGGCCAGCCGCCGGCTTCAAACTATTCACAACCACATCACCTCTGCCGCCGCCGATCCTCACTCAACACTGCAACAAAATCAAACAGCCGGTGAGTTTTTCACAGGTGTCTCTCTCTCTCTCTCACATATCCATAAGGGGATTATTGTGATTTATGTGGGTAGTTTGGATTTCTAATGCAACAGTGTTTGTGATATGAGGTGGAAACTACTTTAGAATTAGTTAAACGCCTAATAGTTTTATATGGCATATCAAATCTTGGATTCCATAAAAGTATGCATATATGTAGTCCGCTTTCTTAAAACTTTAAAGGAAATTTGTTGTTCTATGGTGTTTTATTATCAACTCTAGATTTCATATTCATATATACACATATTTACTCTACATTTCATCACCATATTTACTGATTTTGTTACTCTGGCAGAACAAGGATACAGTGTTGTTCTTCCGGAGAAATTGAAGACAGGGAAGTGGAATGTTTACAGGTAGTACTACTCATAACTCATTGGTTCATCATCAAACATTACATCACTTGAATCCTTGACATATATATATATATATATATATATATATATATATATATATATATATATATATATATATATTTCCTTTTTGGTGGCAGATCTGCGACCTCTCCTTTGAAGTTAGTCAGTAGGTTCCCTGATCATCCTGACATAGGTACCTTACATGATAATTTTGTGTAAGCATCTACTGTCACTATATTATGATTTCTTCACTAAAATTGTAAATATTATGCAAATCATGGAAAAAAACATCAATAATTTGTTTCGACTATAGTTATGCATCTGAAACCTTCCGGGATTACAAGTATTTGGGTACACGGATTAATGAAGATGGAGCAATAGGAGAGTATGTTAAGTAGTTTATTATTTTTTAAAGCAAATTGGGTACGAATACTTTATAATTTATCTTCATTTTATTAAAGATACAAATGGACCACTTATGGGGAAGCAGCTAAAGCTCGGTTAGCTATTGGTTCTGGGTTAGTGGCCCATGGAATACCCAAGGCATGTCACTTGTATTATAATACTAATTTCTCCTTGTTGGTTTTTGTACTTTTTTTATATTATGTCTTATAATTTCAGTTGTATAACATTGCAACAGGGATCCTGTATTGGATTATACTTTATCAACAGACCCGAGTGGATAATTGTTGATCATGCTTGCTCTGCATATTCTTACATATCTGTCCCTTTATATGATACCCTTGGTTTGTCCCTCATTATTTTGTCAAACTTTTAAATCACCTTTCTTTATTTTATGATGCAAATGTATTTAAAGTCAAATCTTGTAGGTCCGGATGCTGTGAAGTATATTGTGAATCATTCTTCTACACAAGCTATATTTTGTGTGCCACAGACATTGCATATTGTAAGTTTCGCCTATTTTTTTCCCATTGATACTTTTAAATGGTTAAATTTGTGATTAGTTGCTAATCGCTTTGACATTTCAGTTGCTGAGCTTTTTGTCAGAGATTCCTTCTGTGCGTTTGATAGTGGTATGATGGTTAATCATTTGTTTCATTTCTTATCAATTTCACTCATAAGATTCTTTACTGAATGTTGACTTGTAATTTTAGGTGGTTGGAGGGCTAGATGAGTTAATGCCATCTCTTCCATCAGAGATTGGAGTGAAGGTTGTATCATTTTCAAAGCTTATTGCTCAGGTAACTTCAAACCCTTTTGTTTAATCATAATTTAGTGTTTGACTTTACTGAACTTTTCAATAACTCTATCTTGTTATCATAATAACACACTTAAACATCTCCGATTATAACATGAATTTCTATGATTTGAGTTACTCTTTTATGATTTTTGCCATTTGATTACTGATTTATTTGGGATATGAATTGGTGCTTTTTAGGGAAGTAATGATCGGCACCCTTTTTGTCCACCAAAACCAGATGATGTTGCTACAATATGTTATACAAGTGGTACAACTGGGACACCAAAGGTTTTTTTTTTTTTTTTTTTTTGTTTCTTATTGACTTATGCTTTTTCTTTTTAAGTCTACCAAAGTTGAATCTTTTCTTACCATAAGTATTAACTGTCTTAAGGGGGCTGTACTTTCCCATGGAAACCTGATTGCAAATGTTGCTGGTGGAAGTCTTGAAATTAAGTTCTATCCATCGGATGTGTAAGTATTAGCATTCTCAAATTGGTTAAAATGTCAATTTGTTTCACCATTATTTTGTTATAAAGGACTCCATTTTTGTTTCAGTTATATATCTTATCTTCCTTTGGCACACATATATGAAAGGTCCAACCAAATCATGTTGGCATACTATGGTGGCTCAACTGGATTTTATCAAGGAGTAAGAAACTCAAATTTTATGTTCTTTCCATATTAAGTTAATGATAATGATTTCTCTATTGTACTTAATCAAATCATGACAAAACTGTGTTTCTTTTTGACTTAATGGGGTAGGGGTCAAAACTTTACACTTTATTTTCATTCATGTAGGACAGCTTGAAATTATTGGATGACATGGCGGAATTGAGACCTACTATCTTCTGCAGTGTTCCACGATTATATAACAGAGTATATGATGGGTATGATAATTTTTTTTTTTTAAAATTTTTCAATCAATAAGGCTTATTGATGCTCAATTAGGTGTGTGGTTATTGCAGTGTTATGAATGCAGTAAAGTCATCTGGTGGTCTGAAAGAAAGACTGTTTAATGTTGCATTTAATGCGAAAAAGCAAGCAATACTTAAAGGTAACAATTTACAGATCTTTCTTCAACACGAGGGCTCCTTTTAGCTTTCCATGCTTTAAATAATATATTTTTTCTGATATTATCTTTCAGGCAAGAATGCATCTCCTATGTGGGACAGATTAGTATTTAACAAAATAAAAAACAAACTTGGTGGACGTGTTCGTTTTATGGTTTCAGGTGCATCACCCTTGTCTCCTGAGGTCTTGGATTTTCTTAAAGTGTAAGTTATTTTTAGGGCTAAATCCAATAAATAACAACTTACTTTCATTCATTTATGTTTTATAGTATCCTAGTTGCATTTCTTTCTATTAAAGTATTGTACATATAATAAGAAATTACTAAAAGTACATTGCTATTTCTTGGGTTTAAACCTTATATTTTCAGGTGTTGTGGTTGTTCCGTAGTGGAGGGGTATGGAATGACCGAGAGTTCTTGTGTTATAACTTCTATGAATAAGAATGATGTCCTCTCTGGTCATGTAGGCGCCCCTAACCCTGCTTGCGGTTAGTTTTCTATAATTTATTAATTATAGCATCGTACTTTCATTTCTTTCTGTAATTTCAACTTTTTCTTATTAGGGCATTGTAGTTTGAAAAATTTTATGCAGTTGTAACATTCTCCTTTTAATCTTTCTCATTAGGACATCATACTTTCAAAAGTCTATCCAATGATAGCAATGAAAATTGCTTTAATTGAGTAGATTTTTCGAAGTACAATGCTATAATAGGAAAAAAATGAAAGTAGGATGCTATAATACATAAATCAATGAAAGTGGATTGTTATTTTTTACATTTAAACCAATATTGATGTATAATATTCGTGTTTCAGAGGTAAAGCTTGTGGATGTTCCTGAGATGAACTATACATCTGATGATCAACCATACCCTCGTGGTGAAATTTGTGTGAGGGGCCCAATTGTCTTCCAAGGTTACTACAAAGATGAAGTGCAAACGTATGTATAAATATAATAATCATTACTCTCTTCTCTTCTGCTTTTGTCATGCATTAGGCTGATGTCAATGGGACATGAATTTCAATTTTATATCCATTAGACAATATTTTATGATCAACATTTATAAGATTTTTTTCAGAAGAGAAGTGATAGATGAAGAAGGATGGCTTCATACAGGAGACATAGGGTTGTGGGCACCTGGAGGCAGATTAAAGATTATTGATAGGTAATTAATTTATAAGAATATAATCATTTAAGTAAATTATAATCGCCTTGTTTTCTTGAAAGATAAAATGGTGAAGGAAATTGGAATTAGATATGTTATGCTCTGTTGTATCTTATAAAATAAATATGGTTTTATCTTGTGTCAGGAAAAAGAACATTTTTAAATTGGCACAGGGAGAGTACATAGCTCCTGAGAAAATTGAGAATGTATATGTTAAGAGCAAATTTGTTGCACAATGCTTTGTTTATGGTAGGTAAACAGACTCCTTTCTTGCATTATTGATTTATTAATTGATAGTGGTACTTTTTTTTTTCTTATTTGTTTATTATATAAATTATAAATTATAAATATTGGTTTGAAACAGGTGACAGCTTCAACTCATCTTTAGTTGCTATTGTCTGTGTGGACCCTGATATGCTGAAAGCATTTGCTGCTAAAGATGGAATAAAGGTGAAATACTTGTTTGGTCATTTATAAATCATTTATCTCTACACAATTAATATATGAAATCACAATAAATAATTAATTTTCCTTCATACGTTGTTGTATATATTTCGAAAGTAGTCTTTCTGTAATACTATGTTAAAGGATTTTATGTATATAAATATTACAATGATACAATTTCAGATTTAAAATTGTGTTTTATTTTCTGGAAAAATATATTAACAATTAATCTACAACTTGTGATCCAGTTTGAAAGTTTAGAACAAGTGTGCAATGACCCAAGGACAAGGACTGCTGTTCTGGCTGACATGGATGCCATTGGAAAAGAAGCTCAGGTAACCATCACACATTAGACACCACATAATATAACTGCTTTTTTTGACAAAAAGTGCAAATTTTTGTCCCAGATCATTAATTTAAATTTTGTCCTTTTATCAAAATAAGGTATTTGTTATGTATGCCTGATTTGGTAAAGAATGCCATTGTGATGCAGTTGAGAGGTTTCGAGTTTGCAAGATCCGTCACATTGATAGCTGAACCATTCACCATGGAGAATGGCTTGCTCACTCCAACTTTTAAGGTATATGAAGTTCAACACACGAGTTTTGAATATTAGTCAAGTATTTAAAATAATTAACACCATGTAATTTGTAATGATGACAATAAACAACTAGCACTATTTTTTATTTTTATTTACATTAGTGTTGTATGGATAAAAATTGTTAAAAATATGTCCCTTTTTTGTGGTGTAGGTGAAGAGACCACAAGCAAAGGCGTACTTTGCAAAAGCAATAGAAAAAATGTATGAAGAGGTTTCGGCATCTGAAAAAACTTTTGTGAGATGAGAAGATGTTTTGTTTGTTGTAAGTGTTGTAATTTGGTTTGTAATATTTGTATTGTTCCTTTTTGTTCATATAGAATTTTTCAATAGGTTGTGACAATATTGAAATGTATTTGCATGGAATTGTATCATTTAACTATATATGCTCACAAACAGTGGCGGACCTTAGTAGGGCATTTGGGGTCCGGGCCACTGCTCAATTTCAGGCACGTAGTGTAAATTTTTTATTTTTTTTTCTTTTTTTGGTTTTTTCTATTAGGTGCACCCGCTTGAAGTACGAGGGACACCCCTACTAAAACAGTTTGCTTCCGCCACTGCTCACAAACCAGAAATAAACCACAATCTGCATGTAATACATATCACAAAATCATTACAATTATCAAAAATTTATTGTGAGTCGATTCTTACACAAAACCGGCACGCCCACTTCTACAACAAATTGGTATTAAAATCTCTTCAATCACTTTCATCATACAAATGGATCAACTTGTGTCACACAATACTAACAGCAGCAAGAAGAGCTATAGCGAACCCTAGTTTAGTTGATGTAGCAGTAACTTTACCAATGGAATTAGGTTTGCTTGCAGTGGCGCTGGAAGGAGTAGAAGATGGAGACGGAGAAGAGGACGATGGTGATGATGATGGTGATGGGGTCGGAGCCAATGTAGAAGAAAGCCGTTGAACGTTAATGTCGAGCTTTTGTCCGGCTTGGCAATGACCAGGGACTGCGCAGAGATAGTAGTGGTGGCCGTAGGTCTTGATGACGATGGAGTCGTTGCCAGTAGAATGGGTGGCGATGGGGGCGGAGACGTTGCAGGACCTGTAGTCGCCATGTTTCACTTGCATCACATTGTGAAACTGCTTGTTGTATGTGAAAACTGAGATACCAAATTCGCACCAAAGGTTTATAAGTATTATCAAAATGAATATATATAATTTTTAGGAATATTTACAATTTGAAAATATGACTAATGACATAATTGTTCATCAGAATTTAGACCCCAAATTTTCCACTTGAATCTCAACTCACTAGTCTACACGTAGCGTCAATATGGCGCTGACGTGTAGGATGCACACGACTCAAAGCTACCGGTTAAAAACTCGATTCTATATCCATTTTAAACCAGTCCCAATCAAACTCGAGCTTAATATTAAGCTCGATCATTAAGCAAACTTAGACCGTGAAATTTGATACATGACACGAACTTGTGTATGTGTTCTTTTTTGTTTAGAAATTTGTGGTTCGTGTTTACTCATGTCTGACATATATTTTAAATTTGTGTTATGTATCTTGCACATTTCAAACACAAATTTACTATTTAAACATGTATAAGACATGAAACAAATTTGTGTTGACACGCGACACGTATAAACAAATATATTCGTGTAAATTCATGTTTTTTCATGTCGACACACGACATGTATAAACAAATTCGTGTTCGCACATGACACGTATAAATAAATTCGTGTCTTACAAGTAAAACATGTTTGTTTGTGTAAGTTCGTATTTTTCTGTAACACGGTTGAAAACATGTTTATTCATGTCATGTCATGTGTAACATGAATTTGTTATGTCTCGTGTTCGTGTTTAATATCCAAGACACATTTTACAATTCGTGTCAGGTCTAAAAGAACTTGCGCTCGAGTTTGTGTTATATATATATATATATATATATATATATATATATTTATTTATTTATTTATTTTTATTTTTATATATTAAAATAAAAAAGTATTTAACAAATATCATTTAGGGTGTTATGGTATAATGTATATTAGCCGAGCCCAACCCGAGCCTGAGCCCGTATAACTTTTCACAAGTCAATCTCGAGCTCCGTACCATAAGGCTCCAAACAAGTCGAGCTCGAGCTCGAGCCCCAAAAAAAATTTAAACTAGTCGAGTTTGAGCTTTGTTAGGATCAGGCTCGGCTCAACTTGTTTGCACCCCTACTAATGTGACATCTATGGGGATTTAAAAACATTTTATTTTATTTTATTATTATTACCCCAAAATTTTCCACTTGTATCAACACAACAATACTGCATATGGATATAACATGTTACTAGCCTACAAATAAGCAAATTCTAATTTGGTTCGTATATACGGTGCTAACATGACATGTATATGGATTTAAAAATATTTTTTTTGTTTCAATTTATCATTATCATTATCATTATTATAGTTGTTGTTAATAAACCCTAAAAACAAATTTAACTTTCTTGTCCCCCACCCATTGATGTTCACACCGTGCATTAGCGCCCCACTCGATGTCTTCTCCGTCGATGGTGACACCAAATGACAATTTTTTTGTAATTTGTGTCTTCTTCATTGTTAGTTCAAAACTCAAATGCAAAACAAAGAAGACCCATACATAGTTGTTCTTGAACACATAGATGATGAAATCAAATCAAAAAGTTAAAATTATGTTTTGATTTAAATCTTCCGGTTGATAAAAATGAAGACAATGAGGACGAGACGGAATCATAAACTCAAAAAGTGTGGTTGCAAGAGTTTTTTTTGGATGAAATTGATGAAAAAAATGGTGGTCAACCCATTCGAACTATTTGGAAGATATCAGCTCTAAGAGATCGAGTAAATCAAATGTATTGTTATAAGTGACAAAATAACAACCTACAAATGTATTGGCAAATTATATGGTCTAGTCTTTTGGCTACATAACAACCTACCATGAAAACCATCTTAAGAAACCATCTTCTTTTTGTTTTGGTTTTGTTTTTTCTACTTAGACTATTAAAGCCTCTATTTTTCTTTATGTAATGTTATTTGTACATATTTTTATTTATTTAAGCTCACAATTGATATGATGGTGGGTTTTTGGGAATATTTTTAAAGATGGGAAGGAAGACACCAACAAGAAAGATCAACACATTTGTTTTTGGGTTTTCAAATTGAGTTCACTGATGGAGTTTTTAGGTTATGATGGTGTTTTAAAGAGCAAGAGGTGGGTTTTTGGGAATATTTTTAAAGATGGGAAGGAAGACACCAACAAGAAAGATCAACACATTTGTTTTTGGGTTTTCAAATTGAGTAAATCAATATATTGAGAGGGGGATGGGGAAGATCGAAGAAAATTGTACCTAGCATGACAATTCTCTGCCCTAACCTCTTGCGCTTGAGCATTTGGATCGAAAATAGCATAACACAAGGATGATTTTTGTACACTTTCCAATAAGTGCATTAATAGGGCGGAGTCCACAACAACATTGAAAGTGGAGGGCGGGAAAGGATACATGTGGGATGTCTCGTAGGCAGCAATTTTAAACCCAACGGAACTCTAGCTTCTCCATTTGCGACCTTGATTGATCTGTCATTTTATAACATCTCCAATTGGAGATTTTTAATAGCTTATTACTTTAGATTGTTTTTAATTGACCACTTAATATCATTTGACTATGTGATTTTTTTATCACTTAATATACATATTGAGTGGTCAATATACTTTCATAACTTGTACATTTAACCCTTCTACTTTAATCATATTTCATTTTAGCCCTTAGTTTTTTTTTTTAATTTCTTTACTAATTAATTATTTCTATATAATATTTAATGATATCTTATTTATAAAATATAAATTTTATAACAATAATATAATATTTTCGATATTTTATTTTCTTTTTATCACTATAACATAAATATAAATAAAGACTCGATATACTTGTATTTATATGTTCGTATTAAAATATGATTTGTGTTTAAAAATAGACTAATCAATAAAGGGTTTTATAAAATATTTTAGATAGATGAAGATAAATTAGTTAAAATTTATATAAAAAAAGTATTTAATTAAATTGAATCATTGCATGATCATTTATTTAGAGGTCAAATTTTATACATTGATAAAGTGATATTTATTTTGAGTAATGGAATAGTATAACCATGAGAGAGAGAGATGTCATGTGGATTCAATGAACTCGATGGTGAAATCATGAAGGGAAGAGGGCGAAAAGGACAATAGGACGCAATATGAAGATGAGTTTAGGTTTTTTCTTTTACTTAGGTTTAAGTTATATTTTAGATTGAATTTGATTTGGTTCCATGTAGTTAAATCCCCTTTTAATTTCATAATTAACCCATAATGATTATTTTTCTTCTTTAAATAACTATAAACTTTACATAATAATTACTTTTTTTTTCTACGTAATTGAGTATTATTGCATAATAGTTTTATTTTTTTATTTTTACATATAATTATAAATAGTTATGAAATAATTATGAAGATTTTTTTTTTCAAATCATAAAACCATTTTTATATAATTTATTTATTTATCTTTGTTTTTAAGATTTAATTTTTTTAATTGTTTTGACGTTTTATTTGAATACATTGTTTAGTGTTTTTTTTCGAATTAAAAATTTAATGTTTTTTTTGACGTTTTATTTGAATATTTTATTTTTATTTTTTAACACTTTGTTCGATTTGAGTATTTTTATTAAAGGGTGGGCATTGGACGTGTTAGACGGTTTTCGGGTTACAAGGTTCAGGTTATTCGGCTTGGTGTTTGTCTCCACACCGACTGTTAACTGAACTGTATTAACTTTCGATTAGGTGGTTATCAGTTTATTCGTGTTCAAAAGGCTAGACATTTGTGAAATTCATTTGTTTGTGACAAATTGATGATCTTAGTTGACGAAATATAATTGGCATATATTTAGATTGATTTACAAAATGTTAATCAACCAAAATATTGTCGTTTTCTTAACATGATAATTTAATAATCTTGTTAATATTTTTATCTTTTTGTTTATTTATTTTTGTAATGTTTTTAATTTCGTTCGTTCCGTACATATCATCCCTAATAAATGAAGGTTTTTTTTGTCACTTGTCACACTCTCATTTAATTTGCCAAATGTCATTTTATGGTTATTTTGAATTAATTTTGTTTTCACATGTCATTTTATAAGTTTTTTTATTTTATTAAATTTCATATAATATTTTAATATAATAATTACAATAAATATAGTAATAAATTGATATCAATTCTTTTAATTAACTTACCTTTTAATTTCAAAATTTTCAATAATAAAGCTTATTAGTTTCTTTTATTTATTTTCATTATTTGTTTAAATTTAAAAGATAAAAAAACATTTCTATTATAATAATTCATTATTTTTCTTATTTTCTTATAAATTCAAAGTAATCAAATATTTTGACCTTTATATTTACTTTGTTTTTAAATTAACTTATGTAATACATGGGTCTCACAACTAGTAAATTATAAAACAATGCAATTTGTAATAAAATAAAGAGTAAATTACTTGAATCGTTTGTTCCGTAATGTTTTTAATATTTTTATCTTTTTGTTATATATATATATATATATATATATATATATATATATATATAAAACCAGTTTTCTGTAAAACTTCTAACCAACGGGACTAGGGCCCCGTGGTGGTTTTGGTTTTGAAATTTTTGGTCGGTCGCCGATTCTAATAAAATCAAAATTATATTCGCTTTAATTGGTCAAAAAAAAACACCAAATTTATTTTGTCAATACGTGTCTTATCACGTTATGGCGTGAGTTTTTTTCAAGTAGCATTTTTTATTTTGTTTTTTTTTTCACCATTAATTAAACAATTGAGTTTTTTCTGGGACATTTTTTGTTTTGTTTTTTTTTATCTTACCGTAACGTCATGCCTTACGTCATTTATAATAAGGGTGACAATCGTATCAAGTTTAGGTTGGCGGGTTGGAAACATCAACTTTGATACAACTCGTCTAACCCGTTTAATTATACAGGTTCGTGTGTTATATTATGATTCATGTGTTGACGGGTTGGTGGATTAAAATATTATTTATATATTTTAATCTCTTTGTTTACTTTTATAATATTTTTTATTTCATCGTTCTACACTTAAAATTATAAAATATTATAATATGTAATAAAATAAAAAACAATAAATAAGTCATAAATATTATTTATAGTTACAATTATAATAAACTTAAGAGGTGTAACTCTAAATAAATAATTAACTAAAGGGGTGATTATAAATATATAATATAATACATTCTTTCTATTGAAATGAATTTAAAAGTATTATCTAATAGTCAACTAGTCATGTCAAATAGGTTAATCATATACTTTTTAGATGTGAATAAAATCCCCCGAAAATTAATGTTATTTAAAAGTAAAAAGTAATGATTTGTTCGTTATTAATGTCGACTTTAATATTAAATAAAAAAATAGTCAAATTAAAAAATAAGGGTCTAAACAGTATTATTATTTTGTTTTTATTGTATTTTTTAATATATAGGATGAAAAATTTGAAAAACATAACAAAAATATATTATACCTATCATCCGAATTAGAAAAATAAAGTTAAATAGCAAAACACAAATTACCCAAACAATATGGATGATCCATTCTACTTTTAAGGATCAAAAATATTTTAATGATATTTTTTTTAAGAGATATACTCATAGGTCAAAAGAGTTTTACTCTCTCCGTTTCAAAATTATAATTCATCTTTTTTTTTTGTTTATTCCAAAGTAATTGTCCATTTCTAAAAATAAGTAATATTTTTACCAAAATATACTTCATTATTACTTAACCAACTAAGCATTTAATGAAACATTAAATGCAAAGTAAGACAAAACTGTCATTTTATTGTATAAAGTTAGTGGTAATTAATGCTTCCTTAATTTGTATGTTTTTAATCTGTGGACAATAATTTTGGGACGGAGGGAGTATTATTTTTAGAAAGACTAAAACCACAATTAACTATTGCCAAAATATTGTTTTTTTTTTGCAAAAAAAAATTATTTAGGGCCAAACCACAAAAAAACTAAAATTTACTTTTTTTCGCTACAATATCATTTTAACGAAAATGATATTTGTTAAAATTTTAGGAAATTTGAATGACAATTTGACTCTGATGTTTCAAAGATCGTGATTGTATCACTTTCTGAAATTTATAATCTGTCTTTATTGTCTTGTGTACATGAATTTAGAAATGAGATAACCCAAGAACTTCAATTTTGATTAATAGCCTATGAGAATTAGAAACACAAAATAATTGTTGTGATGCGTTTTTAGAGAGAAGGAGATATGCAAAGAATCAGTGTTCGGTCATATGAAAGTTGTAACATTTGCATGCAATGTTCATCTTTTTTTATACATGGAAGATGGTGGTTAATGATGGTTAATGGCAATTACAAAGGAATAGCCGTCGCCTGGGACTCTGCCCCTTGAACTCTGCTAGGGTCGTAGCCCTTTGGAACCCTGTTCCCAGGGACGCTGTCTTCGAACCCCCGTATTTCTAAATCCATATCTATCATTCTGAATGTGCACCTCGTACATCCGGTCTTAGATAGTAAAATGAACTTAGCTTATGTGGATAGTAATACTAACTATACTAACATATATCGATAACACTAAAATCACCAACACCAAACCTTCATGGCTTAATATATTAGAACCATTTGTATTTACGTTAGACTTAAAAAATAGTTATTTTAATATTCTTCAACATTCCTATAAAATGAAGTTAAATGGAGCAAAAGAGCATGAAATCGCACCCACATAATTCATAATCAATAGTGTTTACCGCTAGACTAAGGCTAAGGGTGTCCTAAAATATTTATCGGCGGACACATCAGATGAGACATTTTTGTATTTTTTGTCATTATTAAAAGATGTTAGGTGTGGCAATTTAGATTCCCGCCGGTAGAAAATATGGGAGAAGGGATTATTTTCAGCGGTAAATAAAGAAAGAGATATCGGTGGAAGTTCACGGTAAACTTTACCACCGGTAAAAAAAAGGTTGAAGTGTGGTGTTCACCGGCGGTAAACATGTCAAATCAGCAATCACCGGTGGTATTAATCTAGGACACCGTAGCCTAATACAAGTATGCATATATTCGTAAAATGTGTTTTAGCCAAGACTTTCTCATATTTTAAATTAAAATGCATAAACAATGATATTAACAAAGAAAAAATGGAAAACTTTATCTATCATAATAGTTTGCCGGATAGCACACGTAACCAAGGAGCACTACTTTGAGAATGCAATTATTAAACGTGATGATAAAGTAGCACTACTTCGAGAATGCAATTATGATGGACATTCGAATTTGCAATCACCAAGACAATTTATTATCGTTTTAAATTAAATGATTACGGATTTAAATTTCATTATTAACATATATAAGGTCATGTAGAAAGAAGAGAGAACAGAGAAGAAGAAGAAAGTCAGAAAGTGGTCTTCCATGGTATTTACCACGACACCACAATAATGACATCGGGGATGGTGTGCACCACCGTAACAAGGTTGCCACCTTGCAACAAACCCTCTCTGTGACCAGTATACCCTTCGGCCTAAACAAGCTCTTTCTTTAGTTAATTGTCACTCAAATAGAATGTTTTCTTAAGCGAACACATATTGTAGGTATAAAATGAACATGTGTAGTTGACAAGTGTAATGCGTATGTTTCCTTGCTTGTGAGATTATAGCTTAAATTATTAATTTGCTAGTATTAAACATAACTAAAGTACGTAGCATATACGGCTTATCTTCAAAAGTAAATTAGATGCAACAAAACTCCCAACACAAAACAATCAATTTAAAGGTACCTTTTATCATTTTCATTACATTTTTCTCACACGTATTAGAAGTTCTTACATTTTATAAACTTTACACCATAAGAAAACCGATTTTGACAGTTTAAATCGTTTTGGTAATGAAGAACACTGTATATAAACATTAAACACACAAAAGATAACCATAAAGTGAAGAGGAAAAGATGAAAGATACGTACCAATTGTGTCTCCAAACTGGAAGGTTTTAGTAGCAGCCCACTGCTTGTAATTGACATTGCCAATGGTGGTCCATCCTGCTGAGTCCCCAACCATATACAATGCTCCAAAGGTTGTCTTCATCTGTGAGCCATAAACCACCATGGAAATCAACAGTGCAGCCACTGTCATCTTCTCCATTTCTGTTATGATATGTATATATATAACTTGTGTTGGCTCTTAGGTTTAGAGTTAAGTCAAGGATCTAAACCTATTTATAAGTGTATTTGTATATGTGTGAGTGTTAGAGAGTCTTTTTCTTTGTCTTTATTGGTGGTTGAGTCATTTAACTAGCTTGGGATATTTGTTGGGTATATGCTTGTTTATAAAGAGTACATTTCATTTTATTTCTAAAAAAATATCCGCTATTTTTTATTTTAGGAAATTTTGTAAAGTCGATAACTTTATATTATTTAAGATAAGTTTTCGACTTTTGAGGTTAATGAAATAATTTAGGAAAATATTTAGTTGTTTACCTCTATTTTTTTATTCTTTTGGTAAATCTTAAACTTAATTTTTTTCCTTGTGGTTGGAACGATTTGATGATGACAGGCAATGGCAACAACATAATGGATCTGGTAGATGATAGTAAGCATGTGGGAAAACTTGAAAGCAAAGGATGTTTTGTTGTCTTCTTTGGGCTTGCACACTATCTTGTGATGTCATGATATGGATTCTACCATGAGACAATCTCTTTATTTATTCTTTTGTTTATTACTTTGGAAGTGTTGTCGAACCAAATCAATATATCATTTCTAACATACTGTTTATAACAAAGGTTTGATGACAATTTTGATATTTTCTCTAAAAAAGTTGGCAACCGAATGTGCATGAAAACGGGCAAAGACGCAACAATTTTGAAACTTTTGGGAGTAATGACAAAAGATTATGTTGTAAGGTTGGAGGAGTGATGTCAAATTTGTCATGGTCTACATATGTGTCATATCAAATTTGCCACACTATAACAAAAATTTGTCATTTAGATGTTGTGGGTTGTAGACATTTGCCAAACATTAAAAATAAAAAATATAAAACATTAAAAAAAAATTGTTGATTGGTTGAAGGATGTGCAGTCAAACTCGGTGATTCATTGTCGAGTATTGTTGCCTAGCCGAGTTTACCGAGGTGGCGGCACGGTGTTCGCCGATGCCACCTCGGATTTACCGAGTGGATTACCGAATGACTCCATCAAGTCTAATTGTCAAGGAATTCACCGTAAGTATGGTGCTCTAGTGTAGGGGTCAGATTGCTCCAGCATAAAGCTACAAGAGGAGAACGATTCTACAAATGTCTTCTTTCTAGAGCACTAGCAATTAGCTATATGATCAGTTAGGATCGTGGAATCTCTATCTTTTTTACTCCGAAAAAATAAAGACAACTAACTTATTGCACTTCAAAAAAATTCAAAGATTTCTATATATATTAAACCAGAAACCTAATGACATCACTTGCAAAAATCATGGCCATTTATTGGGTTTCATTCATTCATCTCAACCCTAGGATCATTTTGATGATGTCATCTCATCCTCACAAAAAAAAAATTAACACGCCTACGCCATTTTGTAACGCCTTATATCAACCTTCGTCAAACCCATGCGTATTAGTCTCCTCCTACTTCGGTAGCAATTTGTTACCACCATCTTCCCTCACCTTCACCTTTATTCAATCTTCTTCTTCACGAGCCATTCAGACGGACATATTTATTATACCTTCTTCTTGAGGACCCAATCAGAAGACACAGAAAGGGTTTTATGTTTGGGGGAAAGGGTTTCCACTTTAGATGTCATTTGGGTTCGAATAGTCGCTTCGATTTTGTAATTTAGTATGTATAAACTTTTAGTTCGACAAGTTTTCTTGATTCACCTACGTTACTAACCTTGGATTATGTAACGCCCGTAGATCCGGGCTAGTCAATTTAGAGACGATAAGCATCAAAAACGAATTTTTGATGGAAGATTATTTAGAAGGATTAATATTAACCAAGTTTTAGTATATGTCACAAGGTTTCCGAAAATATAAAGAACGCCGAAATCCGAGTTATAACGAAGAAGTTATGACCTGTCGAAGTTTCGCGCCAGAACCGGCACGACACAGCGCGACGTAAATAGTGAATTTACGATAGAGCGATATTTGGATTTAGCGATCTAAACAAAAGTCGTAGAATACGTTAAACCGAGAGTGTGCATGAAAAGAACGCCCAAATCTAACTTCGTATGAGGAAGTTATGATTTTTCGAAGTTTCGGCTTAGCAGTGTACAGCCCGAAGTTCGAATATGAGATCGAGCGATATTTAGCCGAAACAATCTAAACGAGAATTGAAGATCTCGTCGATAGTAGTCCAACGGTGAAAAGACAGACGAAAACGGACGTCAGACGAAGGAGTTATGAGTTTATAACGGAGTTTTCCTGTCCCGGCCTACTAAAAATAATATAAAATTAATATAATAAAAATAAAGTCAAAATTAGCCGACAAAGTCTAAATGAAAGTTGTAGATCTTGTTTTTACCTACGCGTCGATATAAAGAACGTCGAAAACGGAGTTCGTATGCCAAAGTTATGGATTTCTGAAGTTCGGGGCGTGAAACCCCAAAACTGTCAGAGACCACAACGTGAAATCAGTGGTCACGACGTGGCATGTCTTCTGACGCCTCCTGGAGTCTGCCAGACCCAACTTGCGATGACGCATGCAGTGACGATCAAGCCCACGACGTGAAAGTACTGTTAACGACGTGGAAAATGAGAAATTTGCCCTATAAATAGAAATCAAGGGCCAGCCGATTATGGTTGCTCCATCTCTTCTCTCCCACTTCCGATACACTCTCTAAGCCCTATTTTAACCCCCGAAACCCCGGTATCAACCCCAAGACCCGAAGCCCGAAGATCCCGAGAAGAAAAGAGTTTCCGAGCCGAAGCTCTGCCTGCGAGAAGCCCGGTGTGTGAAGATCTTCTAGTTTCACCGAAGAAATACTACTTCTACAAGCCGTAGTGCTGTCCGATCATCTTCTGATCAAGTGAGTGTGTAGTTACTTTCTTCTAACACATAAATATGAAGTATTTGCTATGAAATACGTGCTATGTGTTATGTATTGTTTGTTTATTTGAGATGGGTGTGGAATGGATGTTTTATACAGGTTTTTAATGATTTAAACCGTATATGTATTTTATATCTACAAATATGTTAGGTAGAACATGGGTAGATGAAATATCTGGTGACTATGAGACGTAGTGTCTATTGTGTAAACCCTGGTGACTATGAGACGTAGTGCCTATTGTGTAAACCCTGGTGACTATGAGACGTGGTGCCTATTGTGTAAACCTTGGTGACTATGAGACGTAGTGCCTATTGTATAAACCTTGGTGACTATGGAGTTAGCGCCTATTGTATAAGCCTTGGTGACTATGGAGTTAGCGCCTATTGTATAAACCTTGGTGACTATGGAGTTAGCACCTATTGTATAAACCTTGGTGACTATGGAGTTAGCGCCTATTGTATAAACCTTGGTGACTATGGAGTTAGGGCCTATTGAGTAAACCCTGGCGACGATGTGACTTCGTGCCTATACCTCAGATCAATCCTTAAGAATGAAGGATAGATGATTCTTAGGGTAGATCCTTAAGATAAGTGGAGATAATGGGGATGGGTAATTGGGTTGATTGTTTGATGATTAAATATAATAAATATATTATTGTGGGTTGAAAACCCTATATGCTCACCAGGCTCCCAAGCCTGACCCACTCAGTTTTCTTTGTATCACAGGTATCGATGCGAAGACCCATTTCACTGAGAAATTATAAGAGATGTAAATCACTAGTGTAAATGAATGTATGATATGTTTATGCTTATGTGTTTGTATCGGAACATGACATCCCGATGTTTTATTATTAAATAAAAATACATTCTCTTTGAGAAATGTTTTGATAAGTTATTATCATATCTTGTTTTGGGAACAAATTCCGCAACCGTTTTCTTTAAACTATTACTCTGATTTATAAAACAAAGCATAAACAAATCGGTCTTTTCTGGCCGTGAAATTGGGGATGTCACAGATTATTTCATTGTTTCCGTTCAATTTATTAGGTTACATTGAATAGCAATATAGCAGCCCCAAAGGGCATCGGCTGTGGGTAAATCAGAGATGCTAATCCGGTTTTCATCTGATTTGAGGAAATAAGAAAGTGACGGTGGTGGCTCTTGGTCCGGTGGTGGCAATTTCGTCAGAGGGAGCATCGTCGGTGGTCGACGAGGCCGAAAAATGGGAGGGAGAAGCAGCGATTGTTCGTCGGTCGGCTTCGCAAACCGATGAGGTCTCTTAAGTTCGACGGTTTGAAGGGAAGAACGCGATAGGGTAGGGCATCAGCGAGGGTCGATTGGGTCCGAAGAGATGGAGAGCGTGAAGAAGCAGCGAAGACATTGTGACTGGTTCATTAGGCGTGATAAGAGAGAATATGGTTTCAATTTTTGACCAATTCAATTTCGAGATGAGTTCCGTTAGCTTCACATCCGATATTTAAGGGATAAGAATCACATTCGATATTTAAGGGATAAGAATAAACAAACTTGAATTTCAAAATGAATACACATAATCAATCTTATCTTAAATTTAAAAATTCAAAATCTGATCTTTGGCTTTTTAGTCAAATGCTGAATTTTAAGTCGTATAAGCCCTTAGGCATTGTTTACAATCATTTTAAGCATTGAGTAATCTTGGATATTGATTTGGTCAATATTATAAAAAGTCAAAATAATAATCACGGTTTATTGACTAAGTCCCATGTATACTTACCTTTCCTATATTTTTGGTGATCTAATCCACTATAAATTACCAAAGCTTCCTATCATATAATTCTTGAAACCGTAAATCTGTGATCATCCAAAACCCTAATATCTAAAATTCATTATTTTGCTCGATTACTACAGAAGAAAAATAATCATTTTTCTTTGTGAATTTAATTGGTTGTATGTGTGTGTCTTTTGCATACATAAGCCGCAACAGGTATGTGTTATTTGTGAATTCACATAATTTGTATGCGTGTTTGTGTTTTTATGGCCAATACATAAACTCTCTCTCAATCTCTCTCGGATCCTACAGGAAAAAAAACATAGCAGGTATGTTCAATGGTGTTTGTGACTGTGTGTGCCTGTGTTTACATACACAATATAACTCTCTCTCTCTCTCTCTCTCTCTCTCTCTCTCTCTCTCTCTCTCTCTCTCTCTAATACAACATAATACAAATACATAAATATACAAACTCCTCTCTCTCTCTCTCTCTTCTC